TTCGAACCTAACAAGGGTTCATTCATTTTCAGATGTTGAATTATGCAGAGGATCATTTTCTCCTGAGTCAGAATCGTCATTCGAGTGATTAGGGATTAGTTCTGGCTCTTCATCAATAAGGTCTTCTAAGCTAGGTCGCTACTTCTCCCATTGGTCCTGCATCTTCTCAAGATCATAGTCGGTCCTAGCTTTCATGTCTGTCACAGCTTGGCGCTCACGATCAACAAGAGTGCGTAATTTGGAAAAGACTGCACGCTGATTGGAGAAGGTATGATCCCAGCCAAGGTCTGGGAGTATGGCTGCCACGTGGTGTTCAATTAGGTCCATATGATGATCAATGTCGGGAAGGCGACTTTGAATATCCCGATGGGTCTCATATCCTTCCAGCACGTTTTCCATCAGGCGAATGACACGATGGATGATCTTTCTACCTCGTTGGGAAAACTTGAATTTGAAATCTAATTGTTTGAGGATGCATAGTAGGTCTTCAGCGTGATCTCCAACTGGATGATTACGCACAAAAAAGGGTTGAATGACACCTTGCCAATTGTTTACAGGAACATGAGGAGGGTGAGGTGGCATTTTAATATCTGTTCGCAGGTGTGTTTAAAGTTTGATTTATAGATAAACGCTTGTTTGCTGGTTTGCAAGTACTCTATGTACTTATAAAAGAGATTGAGTGATTGGTTCCTTGAAGAGTTGGAATCCTGGAAGGTGATCCTTAACAATAGGATGAAAATTTTATTTACTAAGTCAAAATTTCCAAAAGTTTACAGAAGAGACCCTAAAACAAGTTTAATCGGGGACCATTTATCTTCTGTCCTGGAAAGTCGCCTGTTATTGGCAGCCGACTGATATTGCCTTATGAGTTGGGATCGGGCATGAATCTGTAATTCCTGGTCCAGGTCAGCTGCATTGGTCTTGTACCGATCAATCAGGCGTTGCTCGTCGTTGATATGGCCTTCCAGGACGGACCTTTCTTGATGAAGCGCCCTCAGTTCTGCCTCTTTTTGCTTAATCGACCCTTCTATTTGTGCCTTGGCATTATTAAGGCCTTCTAGCCGGCCAATTGCCTGTTGAATGGATTCCTTAGTTTTGGCCAAGGAAGCCTACAGACTTATTCGATCCAAATCAGGCAAGGGTGTATCGGATAGTCGCTCCATCAGTTGGTGAAGAATGGATGTAGCAGCCGACTCTGAAGACATTTGGAACAACAGACCACCAATGGCTTGAAGAAGGCTGTCAAGCAAGTCTGGCCCCAGGTCGGGGAAAGATTGGTCAACAGCCTGTGCAATTATAGTTCTGACATCCGTCGGAATGGAGACAGCCGACAGGTGGGCTAGGTCAGGACATCCCTGGAGGAAAGGATGTTTATTTCAGACTAATTGGAGCATGAATATTGAAAATTGATTGTGGAAATTGTTCTTACCTCTGGACGAATGGTGGTCACTAAAGGTGCCAGAATAGCCATGAACTTGAAAGGCTGGTCGACTGGTATTTCAATAGCCGACTCGTCGGCTGCTTCCAATGGGCGTTGAGGTTTAGATCTGGGTCCTTGAATGATGGGAATGAGATATATTTAATGTCATGTGAACATCAGTTTTTAATTTGGAATGGAGAGTTTGAGTGTATACCAGGTTGACAGAGGTCTCTGAGTCAGAGGAGGTGATTTCTTGTAATTCCTGTAAGAGATCTCTTGGTGGCACAGCTGCAGGTTCGTCTTCCCATCTGTCTGCCTCTGGAAGAGGGTCGGCTGCCCTTGGGTCGGCTACCTCCAAGTCTGCTGCCCCTGGGTCGGCTACCTCCAAGTCGGCTGCCCCTAGGTCGACTACCCCCAAGTCGGCTGCTCTTTGGTTTGATGCGTCTGGAGCGGTTGTATCAAAGGCAGCAGAAGCAGGCATAGGTGTGGCCATCGGTGCCATAGTAGGCAGAGATGGGTCTGAAGCGACATAAGGTAACCTGCCCATCTCTGAAGAAGTCTCCTCGCTGGAAGATGAGACCCTTGTTGTTGCCTGCTCGGCAGATGAAGGCATTTTATTCGAGGCCCGGCGCTTGGTCGAGGGCTCAGGTTCTGGTAGTGGGTCGGTTGGTGGCTTTGCTGCTTTAGTTGGTTTGGAAGCAGGTCAGGCGGTCGCCCGGGCCGAAGCCACACCTGAGTATAAAAATAAGGATTAATACCATGGTAAGGGAATGATCAAGTTAAGATGAGAGTATGAGATTATACCTGGACGGGGTCGGGTCTTTATAGAGGGCCGACCTGATGGGCGGTTTGCTAAGGTCAGTTGATTGTCTCCAAAGGGAGGAATAGTTTGAGTCTGAGAGGCTCAGGTCCGCAGGTCGGAAGGTCCACAGGTCGGAAAGTCCGCAAGACGGAAGGTCCGCAGGTCGGAAAGTCCACAAGACGGAAGGTCCGCAGGTCGGAAGGTCCACAGGTCGGAAAGTCCGCAAGACGGAAGGTCCGCAGGTCGAAAGGTCCGCAGGTCGGAGGGTTTGCAAGTCTGAAGTTCCGCAGGTCGGGTGGTCCGCAGGTCGGAAGGTTCGCAGGTCAGGTGGTCCGCAGGTTGGAAAGTCTGCGGGTCGGTTGTTCTATAAGTCGGGAGGTTTGCGGCTGGACCAAAAAAAGTCGGATGGTCTATCAGTCAGGAGGTATGCGACTGGACCAACAAGTCGGATGGTCTGTAAGTCGGGAGTTATGCGGCTGGACCAAACAAGTCGGGTGGCTTGCAAGTCGGGAGGTTTGTAGTCGGACCAACAAGGCGGAAGATTTGTGGTCGGGCCAAAAGGGCGGAAGGTCTGCAGTCAGTCCAGAGAGTCGGATACTATTGCTAATGAGCGAGAATGACACTTCGGTCGGTTGAGGGCACGTGTTAGCAGGAGAAGGGTTAGCAAACGGTTGAAAAAGAGGCGTGGTAACCGTTCAGGCGACGGTTTCCAGTACTGTTTCTCAAGGAATATTTAAGGATTTGGATTTTTCTGGAGAAATCATCTTCAATCATCTACAAACGACAACAAAGTCAAGAGATTCGGGGATCACCACTTTAATTTCCAGTATTTTTACTTTCTAGTTTATTTTCTGTACCGTAAAGTGTTTAGAGATTCCTAATCTCAGGCACTAATTAATCAAATTTAAGGATATTTCCATATCTTTGAATTTTACTTTTTGTTTGTTGAAAAAATACATCAAAAATACAAATCAATGTATGTAAAAACTACAATGATAAAAATTGTTCAACATACCTTTACACTATGTGTATTTGATTCAAAAGAAAAGTGATAATTCCAAGTCATTTCTTTATTTCACCAAAAACCTATGAAATGGCATAAAGAACCAAATTAATTCAAAAATTGAAGTGATCTAATTATTTGATAAAAAAAATAATAATAATAAGAAAAAGAAGAAGGGAGAGAATAAAATCCATCCAGAGAGATTGAATAATAATTTACTTAATTGTACAAGAGATAATTATTAACATCACCAATATAGATAAACAATAATTTACTTATAAATAGTAACAACATGACATAAAATCATATAAATTAAGTATATAATAAAGACCAAGTCTTATCTTATCATGTCAAATTCAAATCTACTTATATAAATTGAACTAATTATTAAACTAAATCAAATCATTTAAACAGAATTAATTAAAATATATACTTAATTATAAAATAAATTCGATTAAATTTTTTAAAAGTATTTTAAAATATATTTGAATTAAATTAATGTGATATGTTTTAGATAGCGTAAGTATTTATTAAAATCAAAATAAAGAAAAATAATAATTTTATATACAAGTATAAAAATAGATAAGGTAAAATTTATATAAACTAAATCAATTATAAAAATTATGTTAATTTTTTAAAATATATTTATTTGATAAAATAAATTATTAAAATAAAATACAGTTATTTAAAATTATTTATTTATTTTTTAAAATATTATATATTATTTTTTGAAAATATTATAACTAAATTTAATGTAAATTTTAATCTAAAATATTTTAAAATATATAATGTAATTTAGATATATACACAATATATATTAATATTTATTTAGTATAATTAAAAATAAAATAAATAAATATTAAAATTTAAAAATATTATACAAATTTAATAAAATTTTAAAAAAATATAATAGGCAAAAAGTGTTTAATAAAATATCTCCCCTCCAAATTCCTCCAAATTAGAGGGGAATCAAAATATAAAGAGATTATTCCCTCCGCTCTCTAAAAAAATTTGAATCAAACATTACAAATTTTAGAATTGTCACCCATTCTTTCCCCTCCCCTCCTAAAGCCTCGAAGCAAACAGACTCTAACAAAATGGGTCATCTTGACTGAAATATTATTTGTTTATTTAACATGCACCTAAGTAAGACATATGAGTGCTAATAATTCCCAATAAATAAAAAAAACCATATAAATGACCATATTGTTGTAATATACGTAGCATAGTTACAATGTTGATGGTGGTTAATTTGTATCCATGTAATTGCAATTTGTTTTGCCTATAAATAAATCGTGATGTGCATCAAATCAAATACACTTAATCTTCATTACTTCTATCTTACTATCTCTCTCTACTTTGCATAACATATAAATAATAATTTATATCTTTACATACATAAAATATATATATATATAAATACATTATATTCACCAGCCGTATACACATATTTGATATATTATATTATTTATTATATAACACATATTATATACTTTTTTTAATTTTTTTTAATCATTTTATATTATAGTAAAAATACATGCTATTATAAAATATTTTAAATTTTTATATAAATTATAAATATATGATTAGACATTCAATTAATTTATAAACCTATGCTACACATTTTTACTATCTAATAAAATATTTCTATTTCTTAATCCACTATATAAAAAATAAATAAATAAATAAATAATAAAACTAAAAATATAATTCAAAAGAGTAGATTAAAAGGGGAGGGAGAGGGTATATACTAAAACAATTCAATTTTGTTTTGAATTAGTTGGAACAGGAACCAGTGAATGGCATTATTATTATTCATTCATTACACAAGAGTGAATCCTGTTTTTACGTATTGCAAACATGAAAAGGGCATGTTCACAAGTTTATCTACTTTGAGGGCTTTGGACATAAGCGTGTTCAAAGCCATACCTATACCCCACCCGGCCCCGGGAAAGCCCTCTATTCCATCTACTCCACCCAAACCTCTACATACAACAAGCGATGTATTGCACACCCATGGTACCGAAACTGTGAATGCTATACCATTACCATTGCTAGAATGTTGGCAGGTATCTAACAGAGCATGTTTGTAGGAACGGCATACCTGCCTCGTATGCTTGCCCATTGCCAAAAGGGGTGAACTCTGCGCATCTACTGACGACGACAAGTCAACATCTGAATGCAGGTTGACGACAACAGTTCCATGGCTGGGATGAAGCCGGCACCCCAGAGCATGGACAAATGGAGAGTCAGGTTGCCATAACTTGTGTGGGAAAATGTCTTCACCATCATAGGCATCGATGAAGATCATGTCATAAATGGTGCTCCCTTCGAGAACAAACTTCTCTGCGTCTGAATTGAATAGTAGTATCCGTTCATGGGTTCCTCCCCAGAGAATGTTGTCAAATGGACTTGGCTTTGGCTGAGCACGCTTGCCAGATGGGGAGATAGCCGAGTACGCAGGAAACCCCATTTCTTTGATTGATGCAGATATTACAAGAGGGTCGATTTCAACTATGTGGACTACAGCACCTGAATGAAGGCAATTCCAAGATGAGCAACTTGGTCACATCAACTAGAGCAAAATTACACAACCGTGCTGATAAAAATAATCTACGGACAACTGTGTATCAGAAATTCGGACTCTTCTTAAACCATGACAAATATGTGGAAATGTACAAATTTCTAGCAACATCCATATGCAGCAAGTTTTGCCTATACAAGTGATATAACAGTTATCCCCAAACACATTTCAGATCTGCAAATGAAAATGCACTTAAAGAACACGCATAGACTATGTATTTCTTAGGACAGTTTCATCTTAAATGAGCTACTTTTGAATGAAAGCTTATAATGAGAAATTATTAATGTTGATTTCAAAAACTATTAACAGTGTCAACAAGGACAAGTTTGAACTGAAATTTAGGTTCAAAGCACAATATATTCGTAACTAAGCCATCAAAAAAAGTGAAACGTTTCAGAGCTCTAAAATAATATGTTTACTCAATTATTTGATGCAGAAACAGTTTGATTTCTCAAACCTTGAATTTTACTGGCCAAAAACAAAGGTATGCTTCCCCCACCATGACCGATGCACAAAATTTTCATATTCTGCTTCCCATTTATAGCATTGCTGATGAGGTCATAATTCGATGAAGCAATAGTAGTCAAGCCAGCAGAAATCATACTCTTCACATCTGCAAACAAAGTCCCAACTCAATACAGGAACAGAATGTCAAGCTAAGAAAAAGAGCAGCTGAGGAAGAAAGGTGTCAGAATAACATAAGGATGGGATTGAAGAAGCATACATCTAAAGCCTTTAGGCATTTCATATTTTATTTCTTTCAGGTTCGCCAATGAGATCGAACATAATGAGCTGATCTCCACACTAGTCTTTCTGTAGATTTCTGCATTATATATTTAGATTTTACGTTTTTCAAAACTATTTTGAAACAATGGCTCACAACTAAAGCAGGAATTTGTTACTGTTTTTTTTTTATCCAACTACGAAAAAATTTTCTTTCATTCTAAACAAGTGCTATCAGCTTATGATGGAAATACCTACAGACATCATAATCATATAGACGAGAGGAATAATTGAAGGAGGCGACAAAAAAGTTGAACATCATTTTTTAACCAAAATGAGTAGGGAAAGGGGAGCGAGTAGGCAGTAGTCAGTCATGACACAAGAAAGAAACTCAAGGGAGAAATGATAACATAACTGTAAGTTAGTTAGCATTGGTCGGGCATAAGCTAAACATGGGCGATGCAAGTAATTAAAAGTTTTTACATGGCACAGCCAGACAATTTGGTTGTTGCATGAAGCTCAAAGAGGCAGGTTCGTCTTCGGTGTATGCAGCCAATATTTTAACAGTGCTTTCCCGAGTAAAATCATTAAAGTGAAGTGTTCTCCATTCATAGCCACTAACCCGAATGTTTCCTCTATAATCTGGGCAAATCTCTGTACGCCGATGTTGAAGCCATTTTTCTGCTCTTGCCCAGTTAGATCTATCCTGCATTGCCATTTCCATTGTTAGTCATCGTCGACCAGCAAAGATATTATGCTTCTGCTGCAGCCTGCAGCTGTTGGTAGACAAGTGTAAACAATCAAACGTACTGGTTTTGAGCAAGGATGAGCCAGGACGGATACGACGCCGTTTCCGGCACGGGAAATCTCTCGGAAAACGGTGCGGCTATTGGAGGCGGCGCTGTCCCACCACTCGGAGGCGTAAAACCAATCGCCTTCGTCCTCGATATACCGGGGATTAATGGCCTTTGAAAAGCGACGAAGGCTCGATTTGAGGTTGCATTGTGTTAGATTAAACATTTATGCGGCTGCGAGGAGGGGGGAGAGAGCTTAGGAATTGGAGAGGAGAAAGCTCCGACGGAGAAGCTAGCTTAAATCGGTGAGGGATTTTGGGTGTGGTCGACGATTGGTAAAGTATATTAGTATTAGTATTAATATTAGTATTATTAGGGCGGGGCAGCAGGGGTAGCACTACACTAGCACTAGCACTAGCACTAGCAGCAGTTAAAGGGCCACTGTATGTGTTATCCCAAAAGTCATTTTTGGGTCAAATTTGTTGGAGTTTCAGTTTGGGTGGAAGAAAAAGAAGAATCCACTGGGCCCATTTAAATTGGCTCAGTTTGAGAGCTGGCCCAATACATTTATTAAAGCATTTATTGTTACCCCCGTTACTTTTATAATTATTTTCTCAATCCTTACTTTTAAAACAATTCTACTAATAAATACACTTGCCACTCAAATATTACTTTTTTAAAAAACCGAATGTCTCAAATAATTAAGTAATTAACTATTATACAAATTTTAAAATTTGAAAATCTATGCCTCCAATAATAATAATAATAATACTAATTAATAATAATGATAATTATTGAGTATTTAATTATTATTTTCTGAAATTTAAGTCTCCAATAATATAATAAGTTAATTATCCAAACTTTTAAATCTGAAATTTTAAAATTTTAAATTTATACATGGATTATTTTATTTGTACAAATACAATTCAAATTTATTATAAAATATCAGGCTCATTTATATTTTTTAATCATTTTTTTTATATCCAATTTTTAGATTTATCTAAATTCTATCTTAAATTTCAATTAAATGACCAATAAAACGAAATTATTAAAATACAATACTCCCTCGGTTCCGTATACAATGCAATATTTTTATTTTGGTATTTCCACATAATCTGTAATATTTTCAAAATACGAAATAATTAAGTATATTTTATCACATTACACTACTCAAATAAAATGTATATATACACATTCTCTCATCACATTATCTAATTTTTACTTTATTCTACCCACCTAATTCTTGTGTCGGAATCAAAATGTTGCTTCTTATATAGGACGGAATGAGTATTTTATAAAAATATTACTTCCTCCGTCCCACTTATTATGTCCACATTTCTATTTTCGTCTATTCCACTTATTTTGTCACTTTTCTTTTTTGGAAAAGAAATATATACTTTAATATTATTTTAAATATTTTAATTTATAATTTTTAAAATTTTAATTATCTTAATTAGTTATTTTAATCTTAATTTATAATTATTTTTATTATACAATAATTATTTTCACTAATACATTCTTAATGATTTACTAATTATACTCCTTATAAATTCTCGTGTCTATGGTAAAGTTGACATAATAGTTGAGACAAAAGGAGTATTGTGCTATTCAGAATTTTGCTTGTAGATAGCCGGTGTTTGGTAAGTCTGTCAGAGCGATGAAAAAGATGGATTCTAAAGGAAGCCTCTCGCGTAAGATGATATATAAACAAAAAAATAAAATAAAGCAATTTTTTTTTTTTTTTAAAAAAGTTAGCCGAATTTAACATATCTGAAAGAAAAATAAGAAAAATTTGTATATATTACTCCAACAATTTGTTGGAATATATGGGTATTGCGAGAATAAACTCTACCGTGAAATCGAGTCGAGGATGAATCCTCTTTCCAAAAATTAGATACGCCCCGGTAGTGCCTCCGGTGACTGGCGTTCTAACTCAAGGATAAAACGGTTTCCGTCTACAATGAGAGTGGTACCTCTAATTGCTCGAGCAACAAAAATGAGAGAGGAACTGAGATGGAGAGGTTGTCGGAAAGCTAGAAGAGATGAGAGAAGGAGAAGAGAATTGTTGATGTTGGTGTTTAGAATGAAGGGGGGAGACCCTTTATATAAGCGTCTCCACTCGGCCAAAATGACAGGGTATCAATTACGATCATAATTACGACCTTAATTATTGATGTAATTTATTTTAAATTCAAACATTCCGTTTGAAGCAGTTGTAATTGATTCTAATTACAAACTTTCCGTTTGTGACGATCGTAATTTATTCTAATTTCAAACCTTTCGTTGGAAACGATTATAATAAATCTATCCAACGGATGATATTTTATCCAAATAATACTGCGACTTAGGCCATATACCTGGGTTTAATTTGGGGTTGCACAATTTGGTTTGTCTCGAGACAGACAAAATAACCAAAATATTAACCAAACCCCATACACAATAAATAAATAATTATTTCCTCCAAATTAATTACAAATTAATCTAATTAATTTGGTACACCGGTCCGTCGCATTTTCACTCACAAAGTAATCGATTGCAAAATAACTGATTATCCAACAATCCCCACATGAGAGGAAATGCCCATAAAGGACAGAAATCCAGCTCAATCCCTGTGAGACATTGACACATCAGGACATGTAGTTTTTTGCTTTGAACCTTCCATAGTCAACATTACAGAGTGTACTGATGGCCCAGTTGATGTGATGCATTGAACTGTTCCACCTCTGCGTGCACTTAGTCAATAATATTGACGTGTCGCTATCTCAGTCTCAACTTTGCTCTCACATTTTGATCCATTTCGGCCATGGATCTCATCTTTGGATTAATTAGTGTTTCATTTGAGGCGGCCCACACTTCACACTTATATAGGTAATCCTATATCAAGGTATCTAATTTACACCTTTAGGACCATTAAGAGTCATTTACTCAACCTCACCACTTTTGCACATTATAACACTTATTGCTTTTCAGGGAATTGTAATTGAGTGTTCATGCCGGACTCTTACAGTTTAGTTTTTCCATTGAACCAAGGTTTGGGATTTCCAAGTGATTTGGTTGGGTTACCACTGTAATTGTCTCTATCTTGTGGATTTCAAACTCATTCTCTTTAGCAGTTTGTACATTTGATCTCTCTGCAACCCTTTGGTTAGCGGATCCGCTAGGTTTTCTATTGATTTTACATGTTCAATAGTCAAAACCCCACTGGTGATCAAATGCCTTACAGTGTTATGTCTACGTCGGATATGTTGGGATTTACCATTGTAAATTCCATTCTTAGCCCTTGCTATTGCAGCTTGGCTATCGCAATGAATCATTACGGGAAGTACTGGTTTAGTCCAGTATGGAATATCATCTATGAAGTTCCTCAGTCATTCGGCTTCTTCGTCAGCTTTGTCAAAGGCGATGAACTCCGATTCCATTGTGGACCGTGCAATGCACGCCTGTTTTGTGGATTTCCACGAAACAGCTCATCCTCCAATCGTAAATACATATCTACTTATAGACAGTGAGTGTTTTGCGTCGGATATCCAATTCGCATCGTAATACCCTTCGAGTTTGTCTATAGACTTTTACTACGAGATGGACTTTGTATTTGTCAATAGACCCATCAGCCTTGAGTTTCTTTTTTCAAAACCCATTTACACCCTAGTGGTTTGCAACCTTCGGGTAGGTCAAATAACACCCAAGTGTTATTATGCATTATTGAGTCTATTTCACTATCTATTGCTTCATTCCAAAAATGAGCATCAGGACTAGATAGTGCTTCCTTGATCGTTGTTGGATCATTGTCTAACATATACATAACAAATTCCGGACCAAAGGTTTTTTCGACCCTTGTCCTTTTGCTACGCCTAGGCTTTGAAGCCTGTTGATCAAAGCTATTGGTCATTTGTCTTTTTACGCCCCGCAGATTTTCATCTACGAACTTTTGGATTTGACTGCATCATATCCTTATAAGGGTAGATATTTTTAAAACTGTGGCGTTACTTGATTCTATCGTAGTTCCCTCGGTCATCCCAAGGATTTCCGATTTGTGAATTATGAAACGATAAGTACTACTGTTTAGTGCGTATCCGATAAATATGCAATCTATCATTTTTGGGCCGATAGCGACTTGCTTTGGATACAAAACTTCCACTTTTGCTAGGCACCCCCATACTTTAAAGTATTTGTATGTGGGTTTTTTGCCTTTCCATAGTTCGTAAGGGGTGTCATCCTTACCCTTAAGTGGAATTTTGTTCAGGATATAATTTGTAGTCAGTACCGCCTCTCCCCACAGGTTTTGGGGAAGTCCTGAACTTATCAACAAGGAATTCATCATTTCCTTAAGTGTTCGATTTTTGCATTCTGTAACGCCGTTCGATTGAGGTGAATATGGAGCCGTTGTCTGATGAATTATGCCAATTTCATTACACAATTCTTCGAATGGGGCCACATATTCGCCACCTCTATCACTTCGAACTGTTTTGATTTTACAGTCAAGTTGATTTTCTGCCTCGGTTTTGAAGTTCTTGAAGGCCTCGATTGCTTTGCTCTTTTCCCTTAGTAGGTAAAGATAGCAATACTTTGTGCAGTCATCGATAAAGGTAATGAAATATTTCTTTCCCCCTCTAGTTTGCGCAAATTTTAAATCTCATACATCGGTGTGAATTAACTCTAATGGCTTAGTCTTCCTTTCGACAGACGAGAAGGGTAATTTTGCCATTTTGGCCTCTCGCAAACTTCACATTTTTTTTGAGTGTTCACTTCTTTTATATTTAGTAATTTCATATTTACTAATCTTTTTATAGCATTTAGGTTTACATGACCTAATCTATAATGCCATAAATCAGAACACTCAATCGAGTACGAAGAAGAAACAACATTTTTATTATCAATAGGTGGTGCTCGGCGTAGCCATTACATTTAATTTGAACATCCCATTTGTAAGATAACCCCTAGCTAAGAACATCTCATTTTTTTATAATATAAATTTATGTGCTACAAAGACAAGTTTAAAACCATGCCTAACTAGTAGCGATCCTGAGACGAGATTTTTCCGAATGTCTAGCACATGCAGGACATCTTTCAGGGTTAGTTCTTTGCCAGAGGTCATCTTCAGCACCACGTTCCTTGTGCCTTGTACCTTAGAAGTTGCGTGATTTCCCATGTGCAGCTTTCTCCCTTCGGTCTCCTTGTAGGTCGAGAAGTTTGTTTTGTTGGAGCAAACATAGCAGGTTGCTCCGGTGTCAAATATACCAAGCTCTCGGACTTTCCACATTATTTGTTTCATACACAACAGCGACGAGGTCGTCACTATTAAGGTTACGATCAGTCCGGTGGCTCGTCTCG